AGAGAGAAAATGGAAATGTACGGTTTGTTCACAGGGTGGGGTCAATACATCGTTAGCATTAGGTAGATACATTTCCACGTTTAGTATTGCCACATTTTTTGTTTAAGTCGATTAACGAAAACATATATAAAGCATTTTGAAGGTAAGCAAACAACGGTTATGTTAAGTTACTATCATAATACTGGAGCCACGCTTGGAGCCCTGCAGTCAATATATATACAGTGCAAATACAGTCATGCTATTCACCTAGACATTAGTTAAAACGTTGGAATCGTCTGAGTGCAGCGTGTCTAGAAACTTGTTAGATAGCTATCCAGTGCGAAGCAACCTGCTGATACACTATGTAGGTAGTAAACATGCGATTTCAAGGTAACCAACAAAATATGCGTAAACGTAGATGTGCAGAATAGACATATCTGCGGCTTATGAGCACTCATTACGTATCATTTCCAGGGTAACAATGCCTTATTTTTTAAGTTTAAACTGTAGCATGGAAATTCAGGCTATGGATTGTATGATCCAGTATGTAACATGCTAAATTAACAGTGCATGTACTAATCTTAATATTCCAACAGTATAATACAGAGTAGGTTAAACCATGAGTCAACTGGTGTGCCTTTGCCAATCATTAGGGTAGTTTATAACAAGCTATTGCGTTATGATTATTTAACTGCTGCATATTGATAAAAATCACAGTCACAAGCAAGAGTGGCTTGAGACATTGCATGACAATGAAAGTAACACAGGTGTGTGGTATAGTGTGGGTGCATGCTGCGGCACTATAGTGGTTTGTGAGGATGGAGCTGTACTATCAGAGTCTGCTGTGATGGACCTTCTCGGGGTCAGGCTGGTGTGTCGATATATGTGTGCAGTGGTAAGCTGTTGTGACCGCCATGCAGGTGGCGAGGGTAGTGTTGGTCTTATGTGTGGTGCTTGCGTACAGCCAGCTGTGCCGGGTGAGTGTACTCTCTTGGTAGGGATGAAGTATGTGTTGCGTATGGCTGGGTCTGATTACCATTGTAGGTGGCATGCTTTAGAGTCTATAGTTCAGTTGGTTAATAGTTTAGTCTCTGCGTTGTAGGCTAGGTTGTTGGTTGCGGGCCGCGGCCTGCATGAGTCCGGGTTGCCTCACCCTATGCCCGTTCTGGTGGCTCTGCTTGAGCGACTGGGTAAGTGTAGGCCACACAGGCTCCCTCTGGGCGGGAGTTCCGGCAGCATTTTCAGGTGGGTCAGCGAGGAGTAGAGGTGGTTGCGGCTGGGGGTTTCTCCCTTATTCCCGGCATCATGTGGGGTTGGCACCATGTGAACACAGACTCGGTTGCCTCTCGGGGCCGGGTCTTTCCCATGATGGTCGCTGTGGAGGGCCCTGGTGGTTGTCCGCCGCCAGCGGCGGGCGGCTCTCCTGCGGTGTGGTCGGTGGATAGGAGGGAGTCTCTTAATGTTCCCCTGCCTGGATGGGTGTTCCGCCTGTCGGTGCGCGGCGGCTTTTCCCGGGGTCTGCCCGCTCTGCCTTACAGCCTGGGTCTGCCTCACCTCTTCTTGGTGTTTAAGGGTTTGGTGTTTAAAATTTAAAAAAATTTATGCAGACCCCTCCAGCTACTTGCCACTGCTAGCCAAATGTTTTATATAATTTTCAAATGCATAACGTTATAAACTTAGTGATCTTTGAATCTGTGATTGTGCCATGACCATTTGTGTTCATATCGTGTTTTTGCATGTCATGTCTTCAGGGCTCAGGGACACTGTGCAGTGCTTCTCATGTGGAGGGTGCCTGGGAAACTGGGAAGAGGAGGATGACCCCTGGAAAGAACATACAAAGTGGTTTCCTGAGTGAGTTAAATTTGACTGGAGTCAGTCAATGGAAGAGGCAGGGACCCAAAACAGCCAGGAAGACAAGAAAAACAGAACAATATATAAAACGAGAAAAAAAAAGAGATCGGAGAAGTAACGAACACAAAATAGATAGTAGAGTATCATACACTATACAGAATATAGTGATATCCAGAAAGACCAAACAGTTACTTCAAAGTATAAATAAAAAGATATGGAATTTTAAATTCTTAGCTTTAGTGAAGAGGTAATCCTAATTTTATTAATGACAAGAGGCAAACAGAGACCGTTTATAAGGGTGAGCCCCTTGTCTCCATAATACCTTCACGGTCTGTTTATAGTGTGAAAAAAATAATATAATGCAATCATAGCAAACATCTCACAATAGAGAAGGTGGGAGTTAAAAAAAGGAAGAGGAAAAAACAAACATACAAAAGGGAGAATTGAAACTACACAGAGACGTAAAATGAAAAGTGTATAAGTGTAATAAGATAGAGAGGAGACAAAAAACAAATTGAGACATCATGATGCAGGCAGAATAATGAGGAGATGATAAGAGGATATAACGGAATTTTTATCCGTGAACTAATATTATATTCTCTTTATTTAGGTGCAATTTTCTTGGGAGTAAGAAAACCCAAGTTGAAATGAAGCAATATATTAAATCTTACGATGGATTCTCTGGATTTATGGTAATTTTTGTTCATTATTATCTTTTAAAATGCTGCGTGAAGAGACAGGCCGTATAAGTTGATCATTTACACAAGTTACACAAATGCTATTAGTAGGCCATTAATCGCATTCCAGAATATCTCGCACTGCAGCCATACCTCCTACCCTAAACTGCACCTCTTTGGTCATTTGAAATGTTGTGATGTTTATTACTGTATAGCCTTGTTAACAGAACCTAATGCCAGCATTGCCAAAAATCGACCCCTCCAGCTGTTGTAGAACTACAACTATGGTGCTTGGCCATCCTATAGAAGTTTTTTGCTTGCTTTGAAAATCATCTCAAAAGTAATCAAAATAATGTGAATTCTCTTCTCTGTGGTTTGTCATTCATAGCGGAACTTACAGCAGCACCCTTCCAGATAATTGCTGTCATAAGGAAAAAAATCCATGTCCGATGGTACATAAATTACTGACATTGTTTCACCTTGGGAAATGGTTAACTTGCACATTTCTATCATAGGCGTGAAATTAATATTTATGGATAAGCTTTTTAAATGATTTAATAATTTTGAAATACACTTTTAGAACGATTTAATATCATGATATAAAATATTTTTATATATAATATATATATTTTTTAAATGAAAAAAAATATTTTTAAAGTTTATTTTTTGTTTTGAAAAAATCATTTTAAAAGCTTGCTCAGAAATATTACATTGATGCCATAGATGGTAAACCTACGCCATATATATGAATTTATGGGGCACTTTGAACATGTTAAACTACAGTTTATTTTAATGGCTGTGATGCCAGGAGTCTCCCCATGGAAACATACCTTTTAATTTTCTCCCAAATTTTCACTTACCTGCTGACATTGTATCAGGAAACCCAGCTTTCCCATTTAGCCCTTCAAGTTATTATCCTTCACTTGTAGGAGCTGTGCATTTTGTGTGTAAAAGCTCACAGCGTCCTGCAAATGAAGGAGACTAACAGCATATTGGTGAATGTAGATTTCTCCAAATAAGGTCACTGAGTAGAGGGGTGAAGATTAGACACTGCCGATTAGGACATAAATTAAGAAAATGCTAAAGAATTAAAAGGTAAGTTTCCAGGTACAGCTTCCATAACTACTAAAATAAGATGAAACGGTTATGGTGCTTCGAGTGTCCCTTCAATTAAAAGATTAAATATGCGTAGAATAGAAATGTATTGTGCCTTGATCGTGGCCATTTATATTTCAGGGCAAACATTTCATGACGGTTCTCAGTGAGAAGATTTTACCCATGGAGACACGTAAGTGACATTATTTTCTGGGCTGTAATTAGGATACCACCATTAAGGAGTGACATTTCTAAAAAAATGAGCGCTTCATAAAAACCGATTGATCCTTGTGTGTGAAGTCTACTTGTGGTGTTGTATGTCGTTGTGGCGGAACCAACCTTGCCACTGTCCACTGGAGAGGCCTGGTTGCTCGCCTGCTCCCTTTAGATTATGGTCCTGCATTTTAAACTTGTATTTTACCTGCAGAAAGGTTTATTCGTGCCTTTCTGCGGACTGTTAAAGCCATGCTACCCCAGATAGCTATGCCATGGAGCCCAGCCGTATACTGAAAGACTGTATGAAAGACTTTGGCTCCATGGCGATTGAACTGTATGTATGTGATTTGAGCACCATCCGGTAATAATGTGTGCTCAGATCTAAGCTATCTGGGGATAGGTAAAATGTGTATCTCCAGGATAGAAGACTCTGTGGAACTGGTTTTGGGCAGAAAAGCCATGCTGCATTTGGTCAAATAGGACTTTTCCTTAACTTTTTAACCCCTGGATGGAATTGGCTGAATTTTGGTTATGTTTATATTTGAAGTATGCTGATTCTGAATATGTATGTTTTATGTGAATATGATGCATGTTTTTAAAGTTACAGTGTATGTATAAAAAGGGTATTTTTCCTGCCTGTGATAAATTACATTAACCCATTGTGTTCAATAATTATATCACAGGCAGAGGGGAGGGATGTATGTTTGTGCTGGGTGTGTTTTACGGTTCTCCTGTAAACGATTGGTTGTACTGTGTCCCACCCTGTGGGATGTCCCCTTGCATGGGGACTTGCATAAAAGCCAGTGTGTGGCCATTACAGAGAGTTCCTGCTTAACCCTCAAAGTGAAGTGTCGTTTCATTATTGGGGGAGGATTTATTGTATGCTGTTCCAGTTTGACTGCTAGGAGTGTAAACCTATTCGCATGGTTTTTCCTATTCGGCTGTATACAACATTCATATGCTTAGAAGTACTCATATGCTTCTCCGGTTCGGTGATTGTGGTGTCTGCCAGAGTGCTTGGAGTCCTCACGAAACGCTAGGAGCATCCTTTAACGGAGGTACCCAGTCGGGGTGCCAGGTGATCTGTTACAGTCGTTCCTGGGGTGGCCTGTCTGGGAGTGGCTGCTTGTTGTGTTTGCTTAGGGGCTGTAGTGGGAGGATAGGCACTATTGTGGGGTGGACAGTGGCTCTAGTATGGTGACAGGGGCTGTATAGGGTTGACATTGGATGTATTGGTGACAGGGGCAATTGTGGGAGGATAGGGACTATTGTGTGTATAGAAACATAGACTGTGACTGCAGATAAGAACCATTTGGCCCATCTAGTCTGCCCAATCTGTATAGTGGAGTGACAGGGGCGGTAGTGAGAGAATATGTGCTGTAGTGGGTGGATATGGACTATTGTTGGGTGGATAGTGGGTATAGTTAGGTGACAAGGACATTAGTGGGAATATAGGGGCTATACTGGAGTTATAAGGGCTCTAGCGGTTAGTATGGACTGTTGTGGGGTGTCGAGCCCCTGTCACTAAACTAGAGTCCCTATAGCGTCTCTAGTGAGGAGTAGAGGCCCATGTAGTACTTTATTAAAAAAAACAAACCCAAACAAGCAAAATAACCTGAAACTTATGTTTATTCCTCCTATCCTGAGGCCTTTGAGAATTCTAATCATTGGTGGTCCAGTGGGAGATGCAGACAGATTCTCATAGTGGTGCAGACAGCATCTTCTGGCTGGTGCCGGGAAATGTATTGGAGCAATGCTCTGATACAGTGAGAGGAGAGGGAGAGGAAGCGCACCTCTCCATTTAGTGCCAGCCCTTGGTGGCCATGTGGAAAATCTAGTTATGTGTATGATTACTATTCGTGATAAGTTAATGGGCGTCCGCAGGAATTTTTCCGTAATGACATCCATGCTTGGCCCCTTTTTGACAGTGTCATGAAAGGGAAGGGGCATAGTCATTATCACATAAAGCCATATTCTTGACACTATAGTGTTCCTTTAAGCAAATTAAAGGAACATTCTGGTCACCATAACCACTTTCATGGTTTTTCATTTCATCTAAATGAAAATGCTATGATGCCAGCAGGCCCCTGGGCGCTCTTTCCTTTAAGGGGTTAAACCGCTCTCAAATGGTTTAACCCCAAAGGCTTCCTCCAGCTCCAGATCTCCAGGTCGCTCAGTGGTATTCAGCTTCTGAAACTGAGTGTCAGGAAGTGCAGATTGACGTCAGGCATGGGTGCCGCTGATTGGCTAGAGTGGTCAGCTCTAAGCCAATCGCTAGTTCCCGATTCATAACATTTTTTACGTTTTTATGAATGGAGAGCTATTGATTGGCTTAGAGTGCCAGCTGACCGTTGTAGCCAATCAGCGGCACCCCTACCTAGCGGCCCTCTGTGTTTCCTGACACTCAGTAAATAAAAGTGAACACATTAACACTGATATGTTTTTTACCTGAGGAGATGAGAAATTCCTGCCAGGCCCAGGTACCAAAGCCTTATGATGTGGTGTCCAGAATGAAGTGGAGGGATCACTTCACTTGTCCTTCCTGCTCCAATCTCATTTTCTTCTCCATTTGACACAGTCTTCTTTTTCTTCTGACACTGTCTTCTCTCCTCCTTGGCTCCTTCTGCTCCTTTACCTTTCTGCTACTTTCTGCTTATTTTGCGCCCTTCTACTCCTCTATCTTTCTGACCCCTTCTACTCCTTGCTGACCCCTCCTGCCCCTTGCAGACCTTTCCTACTCCTTGCTGACCCCTCCTGTGCCTTCCTGACCTTTTCTACTCCTTGCTGACCCCTGCTGCCCCTTGCAGACCCTTCCTATTCCTTGCTGACCCCTCTTGCTCCTTGCTGACCCCTCCTGCTCCTTGCTGACCTTTCCTACTCCTTGCCGAGCCCTCCTGCCCCTTGCAGACCCTTCCTATTCCTTGCTGAACCCTCCTGCCCCTTGCAGAACCTTTCTGCTCATTTCTGCTCCTTCTACTTTACCTTCATGTAGGCTGTCTACCCACCCCCCATCCCTTACTTACCGGATCTGTAGGCTGCCCCCCCATCTCTCACTTACCTGATCTGTAGGTTGCCCCCCCATGCTTGCTGGCTGCACTCTGTGCTGCTCCCCTGCGGATGCAGTCAGGAGAAAGACGCAGGGATAAGCTGTAGCTTCCTATCCCTGCCTTTTTCCATTCACAGCGCCACCTACTGGCCCAGGTATTGCAGTTTATTATCACTCAAGCTGAAAAATCCATGTCGGGGGCAAGTGCCCCCACTTGCCCCCCCCCCACCCCCCTGCGGATGCCCATGCCTGCTACTAAAGTACTAAAGATCCAACATCTATACAAGCTGTAGTAGAATTGTTACTTTGAAATCCACCAGTAAGAGGCTTTGTATCCATGGGGAGTAGTCAGGCACTCATTACCTGTTTGAACTTTTCAGTTTCAATGTAAACATGCAATTTAAGGCCCTACCACAAGATGGTGCAGAGTCACAGTAAACGTAAAGTTAAAGGCAGCCGTTACTTATAACATACTATGTCTGTAAAAGGCTGGTAAACGGATGGTTTGGCTCTACTTATTTGCCGGCTGCCTGTACTCTAAATATAGAAACAGAGGAGCACAGTGACAGAACTCATCAAGAGTGTACGCTTTGGATCTATTTTTTGGAGGGCTAAAACCCTCCTATAGTGTGGTAGCGCCTACTATCTCCCTTCTGCTTTGTACTCTATAATATTCTGCTCGTCACGGTGTATAAATATAACCCAACACACAGCCTATAAAGCAGATTGTAGAATGCACCTATAACGGTCCTTACAGTGACTGGGCTTAATGAGTGTAAAAGAAATAGTGAACAGGGAGGTCAAAGATAAACCAAGCCCAAAGGAAAGACAGAAATCGATTATTCAAGGTACAAAGCCAGGTCAGGTGTTAGAATTCTTTTTTTAAACCTATGCAATGCTTAGTAAATATTCCCCTAGTCATACAGAGCTATATATTCTATGTTACAGGGTGTCAGTCTCATGTCCTGCTTTCTACGTCTGTATTTCTTATTACGTAGCTAAAGTAGTACTGTATACATAGCTTGAAAGACCAAATGGTCAGTAGGCCTGATTATAATACAAGATACTCATGTTTTGAAAGAGTTAAACTCGCATGTTGTAACATACAATATTTTTCTGTTCTTGTGTTCTTGCGCCTGACACCAGCCTTCGCTATCTTTTATAAACATCCTGCACTTGAAAAAAGTAGCATTCTTTCTAGCCCCTGCAATTTTTAATTGGGTTCCTAAATCAAGGACTGTCACTTGCATCAGTTAACAGGAAACTAACTAACAACAATAGGTAATGTTATATGAAAAGTTATACTTTCTGTTCTGTTACTTATATGATTAGTTAACTAAACTAACTAACAGCATGTGAAAACTTATACTCCTATGATTAATGTTTCTGTTGATGTATACACCCCTAGACAAACTGTGTTTTATGTATACCATGTACTAAAACCTTTGAATGCCTATTGATACTACATCTGAGTGGTGTGACTTCATTGAGTATTCCCAGCAGCTGATTAAAGAGACAAAAGAAAGCAGAAACGTCTTTATTTGGAGCATAAGTCAATGGCAGCCTAAAGATTTCCAGACCCTGTTGTGATTTCCAGCCTAACATCAGGGAAGCTAGATAACAGGATAGTCATGAATAGCCGAGTTCATAAACTGGAAATTTAGAAATTACTATCAAAACACACTATTGGGACACTAGGAACAACAGCAGAGGGCTGTAATATTCTCCGATTTATATGTTGGGGGTGTGTTTGTTGTAATCACGCTCCCAAAACATAACAGAACATTGAATTAGATGACTCCCATTTAATAAATATTTTGAGAAGATGATTGTAGCGGAGGCCTGGTATTTCACAGGTTAACTCCACCAAGATCCCAGTGAGGCTCAGGAACAATAATTCCAATAAGCAAGGCAATCCAAGAATATTCCCATACAGATCCCAATGACTGGACGACACACAGCATCAGGGGCAGAACTGACTTTTATTACACACAACCTCCTTTTAAGCATTTCTCCCATGCAAGGGAGGGATTCACATTCATTAGGACAGTACCCAATGGCATAGTAGTTACCTCCCACCCATCTCCTCCCCTTAGTATGACACCTAATCCCATTATACAAGACACAAGACACAGTTTTCCCCAAGTTCTGGATGTACCCCAAGATTAGCAGGTACACCCCCTGGTAGCCCTGATCTGGGTGACCAACATATCCAAAATTCACCCAGATCAGAGCAGGGGTTCGGAAATTAGGTTGTGGGGGAAATTTGACCGACCGCACACGAGGTGGTATCCGAAACGGATTCCATGCGTTTTGGCCCTGCGGTCGGTCTCCGTTCGGGAGGTAAAATACATAGAAATACATGCCACCCATGATTAAACTGTCATTCGCCTGAATGCCCTTGCTTGGTACTACAAACTCACCGAACGGGGGGCTGATTCGTCTTCCCGTTCGGGAGTTATGGAGCTTTGGAGGTGTCAGCGGTGTTCGGGTAATTGAGTGTCCGATTTGAGTTCCAGACACTCGACGACCAAACACCGCTGAGTCTTTCGTGTGTAAGTTGGCCGCCGCCAAGTGTTCGTATGCCGAATGGCGGCCACCCAGATACATCAATAAACCACCTATTAGTCTGCGGTTAACACACGTTCGACAGCCTAATTGGGAACACACATCACTCTGGGGAGGTCTATTAGTTCGGTAGTTTCCATTCGTATGAAATACAGATGGAAACTACCGAACAAACATACGAATGCCATTTACAGGGAATATAAATCAGAAACAACACATGAATTGCAGGATTCTCATAGTTTTTTAAGGACAGCCACAGTGCTATCCGCTACAATGATATAGCATATATCTGGGTTACAAGTGGGATGGCTCCCACAGATCTAGCTGCTGTTGGCCCAGGTTACTCGTTGATGAGTTGTCAAGGTTTTAATTATGGCCTCATTGTTTTTTGGTCAGCTTTACCTCTTAAAGCACCACTAAAGTCAACCTGGCTGTTTCATCTTACTGAAGTGATCTGGGTGCAGCTGTCCTGTCAATGTAATCATTTTGCCACTAGAGGCACTTCTGTTGCACTCCACGAGTAAAAATCAATCCTGTGACGCGAAAGCCACCGTAAAAAAGCTTTGGTTCCCAATGCTCCTCTATGAGAAGGATTGTATTGGAACACATCGAAGGAAGCCATGCCTCCTCCAAGAAATCTCAGGAGGCAGAGAGGTATGCAGCACCCAGGGAGACTCGGTGCTGGAAATAGAAAGTAAGTAATACTTCTATCTCACAAATTGTTATGGGACGGACCTATATAACAAGTGACAAGATCACTAAAGCATTGGGAATAAAGGTTTGTATTCCTTATGCATTAGTGTTCACTCAAGCATAACTTGAATTGATGGCTCATATGTACTCCCTACTGGTTACCATTAAACATGACAAAGTTGTATCTATAATTCTGACAGGGGTTGTCCACCTCAACATCTTTGAAGATGAAGACGTACGTCTGGATTCATTTAAGAAATGGCCTGAAAATGCCCATGCAATGCCTGCTGACCTTGCTCAAGTTGGTTTTTACTACACAGGTTAATTGTGATTTTACTTCTATTAAAACTTCCATTATCCCTATATAATAAAACTGTGTTTAGGCTTTGCATGGTCACCAACCCTCTATAATGTCGCCTAGTCCATCTACATAATGCAGCTTTTTGAAAATGAAAGATAGTGTACAATCTGATAGATTATCATAATTTAGCAAAAAATTTTTATTTTTATCACATGAAATAACATTTTAATCCCTTAGATAAGTCAAGCTAATTTTATGTTCTCTTATTTTAGGAGTAGCTGATGCTGTTAAGTGTTTTACATGTGGAATAGGCCTTATTGGTTTTGAACCAGGGGAGGATCCTTATACAGAACATTTGAGACACAGCTCTTCGTAAGTATACAGTTTTGAAGAAATCACATTCATATACCTGACTCTCGGTATAATCTATAATTTTTTAATGTTCCTGGATTTTGGTGGAATATCAAAATTCATCTGGAGCTCATCTCACGAGTGGTGTACCTACCACGGTCCCAGAGGTTGCGATCAGCCCGCCATTCCAACTTGCACGGCCGCCCTTTTGACCCCTGTGGGCCGGCATAACTTCAGGGTCGCCTGGTGACGTCAAATGGGGAACGTACAGCACAGCGCGCCCCTCCGGCCGATCACAACATGTAGTGTGGCTGACACACACACACCCCATGATGGACAGACACACACACACACCATGACGGACAGACAGACACACACACACCCCATGACGGACAGAGACACACACCCCATGACGGACAGACAGACACACACACACCCCATGATGGACAGACAGACACACACACCCCATGACAGACAGACAGACACACACCCCATGATGGACAGGCAGACAGACACACACCCCATGACGGACAGACAGACACACACACTCCATGACGGACAGACACACACACACGCCCCATGATGGACAGAGACACACACACCCCATGACGGACAGACTCACACACACCATGACGGACAGACACACACCATACAGACAGACACCATGACACAGACAGACACACACACACCATACATACAGACATACACACACACACACACACACACCATACATACAGACACCATGATACAGACAGACACACCATACATACAGACAGACAGACACCATGACACAGACACACACACACACCATACAGACAGACAGACACACACACCATACAGACAGACACCATGACACAGACAGACACACACACACACAATACAGACAGACAGACACCATGACACAGACAGACACACACACACCATACATACAGCGACAGTGTAACCTGCACCGAGTAGCTAAGGAAGAATGGGTTTCGATATTGTCAGGAAAGCTGTCAGGCAAAGCCTCTGATGCTTTCCGGGCTGTACCAGAACAGGAGGTCCATAGCTACGCCAGGGTTAAAGAAGCGCTCCTGGCTCGTTATGCAGTAACCCCAGAGTCCTACCGATAGAAGTTCAGGGACTCACGCGAAACCGCTAAAGATTCCTACGTGGAATGGGCATGCCAGTTATCCCTGTCAGCCTCTAACTGGGTTAACAGTAGCCAGGCCACCACCACGGAGGAGATTTTGCAACTGATACTCCTGGAACAGTTTTACAACCATATCCAGGCGGATGTCAAAGACTGGGTGAGAGACCGCAGACCCCTGTCGCTACCAGAGGCCGCCAAGTTGGCGGATGAGTATGTGGATACTTGCAAAACTAACCAGGTCGCACCACGGGTGCAGCTTCCACGACCAACGGTGCCATCACACCCACCAGCAGCCAGATACCAACCTCCTAACCACCGGTGACTTCTAACTCTCGTTATCCACGACAGGATGACAGCGAGCTACGTTGCTTCCGGTGCAAACAGCTGGGTCACATCCGACAGAATTGCCCCATGGACAACACCACCAGGTCAAATTGGTCTCGACCTGGGTACCACCAACCACCAGCAGCAGCCCATTGTGTAGACTCGACTTGGGATCCCAAGGAGCTGGGTCAGGAAGAACCATTGGGCA